AGATCAAAGAATGTGATAAGGGAAATGCACATCTGTCCTCTGCTCTAAGGAGACTCGTGCAAATGTGGCTTAATGGCTAATGTGCCTAGATTGCACGTTGCACTGCCATGGTTCGAGTCCCGCTGGAGGTACTGATAAGACCTAAGCGAGGTCGAAATTGCAGTCCACTCCAGCCGGGATGAGATTATCTTGCGGGTAAACAGGTCTATGCGGAAGTCAATGCAAACGTCAGCTCTACTCATATCATTATGAAAAAATTAATCACCCTAAACGAAATAGGGTGAATACATCTGATGTGAATACAATTGCAACTGAACAGCTTCATTTTCTACTAACTAATTTATTATATCGAGCATGCAATGCTGACGTAAGTGATTGTCTTGCATTGAACGTTTGCTATGTGCATGCAATGTTTGTGAGACGCATGTGGTGTGAATTTAAGGCTAATAAAAGCTCCTCTTCTTCAGCGGTACTTCATGTTCCCTCTCTATCTCTTTCTATAATCCTACTTAGCAGTCACAAGTAGAGTCTGCTTATTTCTTCTGTTCTGTTGATTTTTATGTATTTCCTAATCTTGTGCTTACTGGTGTAGTCTCCATATCCAGCTAAACCTTTCGCTTTAGATATCATCTTATGAATGGTTCGGAAGGTATTCTCCACATATATTTTACCAGATGAACACTCAATCTTATAATAGCCCGATTATTAGAGAAGGTCCAAAATTTTCCGAAACGATTCCATTAAATAGAAAATATTTATTTTTCCTTATACATTGTACTGATGTGACACTTTCTCAGTAATTCATCTATCCTTTGTCGTGACCTGACAGGACAGTAGCATCAGAACTCTGTCTATCTTGCCCCACATGCAATGGAATGTAATTCTATGCGTATTCATTGCAGAATGGAAAACATTCGTGATTCAGGGCAGGATGCAGATATTGGGTGACAAATGAACCCATTTCGCCCCTTATATGCAGCCACTTCATTTTTCAGCAGCATTTAGGGAAAGCATAGGATATCCAAAAAATTATGATATGTCTCATTAAATAGACAAAGTCGGACTACAAGAAGTGACGGTAATCTTTCTTATCTTCGTCTTTTAGTGAATTTTCTTAAAGCATGGTATCCAACTTTGACGATGTCCATTACATGACGAATTAAAATTCAGCAAGGATTTATAAGGGTTATGGGACGGTGATTGAGAAATTACTCACATAAATTGACAGTCATTGCTTCAAGGCAACCCACATTTGACGTCTGGAGAGGCCAACTTAGAAATCCCTCCACTTTGCCTCTCCAAATGAAATGAAATGAATTCCAACATCAACCCAACCTCATTTGCAGAACATTCTGTACCTGTTTTCCCGCTACCCTTTAACCGTTTATCAGTTTCATGGGCGATATCTACCTGCTGTCGTCAGAACAGGAATTAGCAAAATTCATGCTCAACCCACGACCCTACCTACTACCACCGCAGCCCAAAGCGCCGATTCGGTTAGCAGTTGTCGGTCCCGAGGCATCGGGCGAGCAAGATCTGGCTAATCTGTTGGGCAGGCATCTGGAGGTCACTGTGGTCGACTTAAAGGGTCGCCTTAAGAACCAGGAGGAGGAATTACTCAATGAACGTTTAGAGGCAGTCAAAAAATCAACAACAGAGAAGCAGATAGAGATAATTCAAAAGAGAAATGCTGCGGAAATATCGGAAATGAAATCAGGTTTGGCATATATTGATAGGAACTTTTAGCATGAGTGAATATGAGTGAGTAAATAGCAAGGAGGCTAACACCTGTGTTGACAGTACATCAAGTAAAAATGGTCGGATGATTAGCCTATATCAATGGGATCGAGCAAAGTTGCATAAATTAAGGATAAAAGACATTTGTAAACGTATTAAAACGATCAAAAAAGCTTTCAATATAAAAATTAGTTGTACATTTTTCGAACTTTAATAGGCTGCTAAATTCATCACCTAGCTATTTGATCAAGAGTCCTGTTGTTCCGCTCAATTCTAGTCGTTTTGCACAAGATATATACGATTTAGGCTAGCAACGGCTAAATTAGTCAAAATACAACCTTGCTTTTGGGAGCCTTAAATTAATCTTAATGCTCCAGGCATCATGTCTGAGCAACAATTTGATGCAAAAAATGCAATAATTCAAAATACAGAATACAAATAAACCTGCACTTTTTAAGAATACATATTACTGGCCACCTTTGTTGTAAGGCTGTGGTTGTAACAACAAGTAAAGCTATCTAGTAAGAAATGATGCACAGTTTCACATACTTGGCTCTCAAAAGGTTGGCTCTTCAAAGGCTACAATTAGCGTCGACAAGATTATGTTGCCAAGGCCTAGATTCTTCTCGCTTTGGAAGCTGATGAAGTGTTGGGCGAAATAAGCATAATTTCATGAGAATTAAGGATAAATCGTATACTGGTGAGGACATGGGTGCAAAGCGGAAGAGACGCAAATGTAACAATTATTTTTTAATTTTGCATCAAAAATAGTTTTATATCGGCGATGGTAAAAGATGATTGGAAACAATCTCTTCTGGAAGACTCGTAAGCCGATTAGACTTCAAATGCTAGCCTGGCGAATTCTTTTAGAAGATAAAGGTTCTATAATCCAAAATACGAAGACTAAGATGTTGTGGCCTCTATTTGGTTTACAGTTTCCTTTCGATGTATAGATGTACTCTAATCTCGTTTTCGCAACCTGGATAGTTGTAGGCACCTTGTCCGAAGTCCTCTGCTATAGTGGTAGTCATAATTCCAAACTTCAGACCGTAGACTTGGTACATTCTCAGACTTTTCGCCGGCATCGTCCGTGAGTCATGCCAGTTTCAGCACCACTTACAGATACAACTCGTCAAAAAGACAAGTGAAGTCAACACCGTGACCAACCTTCTGCCAAAACGGTTGTGCCATCACTCATTTTTCTGTCTGGCCCATCTATTTATTCCTTACCCTCTTAGCCCACTTCCGCCCCATCACAGCTCGTTACTTGTTTGCATTTAACTTCTCAGAAAGTGTGTCCTTCTTGGCGAGTTTAGTGTGGCGTCATCACATCTGTAGTTTACCCAGCCACCTCTCTCTCACTCTCTCGCGGTGTGCTGATCTGAATCGGGTTTCCTGTCCGGGTCTGCCTCATAGTACAGTAGATCCGCTCCTCTTCTTTCTGCTTGACCGATTTATCTCGATTCCAGTCTTAGTCTACGTTTCACCCCAGACGCTATTTCTCAAGCCTTCAGTAGCACATAAAATGTAGCCTCATCTGCAGAGCGCCTAGGATATGATTCCCATGCTTGCAGCTTGCCTCCGCGAGTAATCTTCTTTATTCAACACGTATACTTTCAGCAAACTGTGGACCTCTTTCTCCGGTCGCCTCCTGCATCTCGAGTGGATTTCTGGTCAGGTTGGCTATAAGGCCAAATTTATGTGAAAATTGTGATTATGCAATGACAGGGCCCACAAACTTGTAGGTATTTCCTCGAGCCAACGACACTCCATGAGAACGTCTTCGCTTGATTTTCCAAACTTACCCATTCACTCCCTCTTTGCGATCCCTTTTCCATAGCTTTTTGTATGCACGAAGTTTACATCAATATTTACCAATAATTTTGTCTCTTCCCGTG